TGACTATTTGTGACGGCTACTCCAAAATATTCAGTGAGCTGAAAGATGTGCCTTGTGGTATCAGTGGTTACCAGAAATGACATTACACAGGAACACTGCGACCAAGTGATGCACAGGGAATGTGGAAAAAGTTCAGAAGAGGTTTTTTGTGTGTAAAGTAGTCTCTTTGGGTGAAAGGATAGATCCTCAATTCACTTTGAAATTGCTGTTTCAGTCCAACTCTGCCTTTTTGTTAGAACTTACTCGGGACATTGTAAACCCTCCAACACTACATACATTCTCTCTAAACTGAGAGAGTCTCTGTTAAACCCATGCTCTGCATACAGCGATCAATATAACATCAGGAACATCTCTAGCTATGTACAGCTGTAAAGGCAGGAGCTCTCCCCACACTTCCCGCCATCATCTGTTGAAACACAAACTCTGCCATTGGGTAAATGTTTTGTACAGAAAGCCCTCGTTCTCCAGATCACGATTGTCTTCTCGTCCTGCTTCAGATCACTATGGAGCTGCCCGCCATGTCCCAGCTGCTTAATCCATCTAACAATGCTATGAATCCAATAATCCTACTACAAGCATTGAGTGGACTGATGGCAGGAGAAATAACCAGGCTCCTCTGGCAATACAAAGACCTTATCTACAGATGCCTCTGGGTTTTGGAAAGAATTTCTGAGATCAAAGAAATTCATTCAGATCAAGGTCCTGCCCAGGAAGCCTCATCTCCGTAAAACTGAGTGAAAGGAAACCGCCAGACTCGCGAGGGGTGGAGGCCCGATGAAAACGTATCTTTCTTAAAGGAAAAATTGTGCTGCTTTGTGGTTCCCCCAAAGGTCAGTGAGGTCCAGCCTCCTCATAGACCTCAGAAACCAGCACACATTCCTGAGAAAGCAAAAGTTCATGATGGTTATCCTGCCCACAGTTATGTAGGCAGAGCGCCTTGGAGATTGGCAGGGTACCAAACATGTCATGGATGCCTACTTTCACAGAACCACCCAGTAAGCACACAGAGGACTTCTGTTGTTCTGGTTGAGTTACCATGATCCCCTTTGGTATAATTCCTCACCAACTCCTGTCGTTTGAACCAAACTCCTCATCACCAGTGGCACTCACAGAACTGCAATGGGATCCCAAGCCTAAGAGTGAAAGAAAAGGTCATCATTGGATTTCCCATGTGGCAAGGCCTCTCCTTCACTCCTTGGCTGTCCGTTTGTCTTTTCGCAGTGAGGACGGGGCTGTCTGGCAAACTCACTTGGCCCTGGCATTGGCACAAGATTGGGGAACAGCTGAGTCTCTGAGTGCTGAACAAGATCTGCATATGTTAGTTATGCAGAGCCAGCAATTCCTAATTCCCGGGTCTGGAGTGCTCAAAAACAAGATGGGTTCTTCGAGCCAGAGTTTCCAATGAACCTTTAATTTTCCAAGGTTTTTTTTGTTTGGATGATTTTTTTCTGGTTTAACAGACGCCGTCAGTTGCGACACTTGTGCGCTCAACTCGGAAAGGGAAGGGGAAAGGGTGGGAGGGTGGTGTGGGTGATGCAATCCTGGAATGCGAGCTGTAATCTGCAGCACTAAAAAATCCGAGAAATAACACGTGTTGAACTGTCTGAACCCGCTGCTTTTCGTGGGGTTTGCTGTTGCACTGACGGGGCAGCTGCTTGAACAGAATCAAATTAATAAGGTAACTGGTGCCCCGTGCATCTGCCTTGGCTTATCTGCTGCTGGTCTGCAAGAATAATGGCCGATCACGCCTTCACTGTGTGCACTCTTACCCTAACTCTGGCTCTGAAAGAAGCTAATCTGGCCCTTCTCCAAAGTGCCCCTGACAAAGAGCTCTGGGAGGGACGCTATCCTGCGTGAGGGGCGCTATATAAACCCAAGCTGTTGTTTTTGGAGACCTGTAGCTCAGTGGTTAGAGTGTTCGCCTGGCAAGTGAGAAGACCTGGATTCAATTCCCGGGCAGGGCGAAACGTTAGGCAAGTTTCCTTGCTCCGCACCTCTGTTCACCTAGCATAAATAGGAACCCAGTTGTCGACTGGCGGATCGCTTTGCGAAGGATATGTTACACTCGGGGGGTGCGGTGGGGGGGGGGGTGAGTAAGTAATGCTAGTTTCCGGGACTCTCCTGTTGATAATGTTTGACACTGCTATGCAAACAAGGTTCACGAAGGCAGCTCCATTAAGAGCATCCTCAGAACCTCGGCCTCAGTACCTACAGACAGACAACAAGAACAACTTATATTTATACAGTGCCCTTCATGAAGGCCAGAGTCTCGGAGCGCTTAGGCATCTGGAAGTAAAACATCAACAGTTGAAATAGCCTGTGAGAGAGCAGGATAAGATTGCACTCAGTGCTAATTAAGAGGCAAATGAAGTCAAGTAGTGCTGATTTAGACCACATTCACGAACAATCCACCTACTTTGCCAGATCCCGAGCAGCAGTGAGATGGGAGAGAGAGATTGCCATAAGAGAAGGCTGGTCTTGGAACTCGCAAGAGACTTGAGTTTGGCGTGTATGATATTTACCAGATCGCAGTCGTAGCCAGCAGTTATTCTCTTGAAGCTGTCTGGAAAGCCAAATCTCAGGGGAAAAACATATAATTTGTGCCTATGTAGTCCTGTAGTGAGAGTGATATTACTGTGGTAAAAAACTGGGAGGAATTGTTGGACCCAGCAGATGTTAGCTGAAGTGATAAAAGAACTGAGTTGTCCAGGGTTTAATTGCTCTTATCTCTGCTGACTCCCTGAAGATGTAACTCAAAAGATGAACATTTCCTCCCTACATCAACCCCCCCGTCCCATCCCCTCCACCCCACCCACACACACATCTACAACAGCTGCATGTATGTTTGAACTCAGTATTTCCAAAGTACTGTAAACTCGTAAAAGGAAAACAGCTTCCAAATTGTAAACTGAATTCAAGGATTTTTACCACACCCTCGCCTTCCTTAAATTTTAAGACCGAATGATCTTACAGGCTAAGAGTAGGTGGAATTTCAGGGAAACTGTCTTTCGTTAGAAGCCAGTAAGTGATTGCAAGACTGGTTTAGACCATAGGTTCAGTGGAGTACAAGATTATGTCCTACTTTTGATCATCAAACTGGGGGATAAAGCAGTGTTAGCATTTTTGTCTCCCAGGTCAGATGTCAGGTCCAAAGCAACCCCCCCCCCACCCATCTTCTGCTCCTAAAATGTACCTAAACATCTGACCTCATAGGAACACACCCCAGTGGACCAATTTTGTGTTTAACAGGAGCATGACTTTAGCCCAGGGGCATAATGGGGCCTGATCACAGAAAGGGATTGTTTTACTGAGAAATGACATTGTGTGCTGTACAGCTATAGGGAGAGAAATTCCACTCAGGTCTAGATTGACTTTATGTAGCACTGGTGCATCCAGAATTTAGCAACTTCTTCAATCCAGTCTGAATTCCGAAGCTGGTTTATTGTAAATTACAGAAAATTCTGCATTGGCAGAATTTGCCAATTTTGACCGTTCTGAAAATCTAGACCTGGGTTGAACACTTTCCCCTAATAGTCTAATTTTCTTTCGCTCTCTCGGGTGAAATGACACTCAGTGCTTTACAGATGTGATTGTCTCGTTGTGTCTCTTAGTAATTTATGTCAATGCATGTTCACGTCAGGGGCTGGACATGCTGAATGGCTGCCAAATTATCCGTCAATTTATTGATGAGTAACGTTGTTATTCTAACTCATTTGCAGCCAATGTCAATAATAATGTATAATATAATAATCCTTACATTTTGATACTTTGTCTTATTACATCGTCGAGACGTCTCAAAGCAATTCAAAGATTCTGCAGTGAAGTATAACGACTTGTGTATTCCGTAGATGAGTCAATTTGTGCACAGGGACGTCCCATAAACAACGGTAAATTGAATGATCAATATTATCTGGGGGATTGACACCGGGAGAAATTCCCTTTTCTGGTTGAATAGTGCCGTGCGATCTGTAAATCGAACCAGCACAGACAGGACGTTGGTTTAATGTCTCATCCGAAGGATGTCACCTCCTACAATACAGTGTTCCTCCAACAACACAGCCCTGTCAAGCTAGACTGTGATCAGTTCCTCGAAGTTAAGAGTTTTAAACTTTGCGGAAAGATTATAAATCCTGAAGCCCTTAAGAAATTGTTGTTTCAAAACGTCATTTTTCATCAAATCTGATGTGCTTTTCATCACTTTATATTAATTAAACTGATATTGGCTTTGGCAGGATTCAGATGGATATTGGCTTTTGGTTATCAACACATAATTATTCAGCCTAGACACACTCTGCTCAGCCAGCAAAAGCGATCACAGATCCAAGCTCCCACATTACGAGAGTGGCCCCTACAGTTCAAGGGAAAATAACTCTGTGTAGAGAATAAATTGTGGTTCAAGATGACAACAACGTGTTGGTGGATATTCCATTGTCATTCTCCCAAAGCCTGACAGCACTTCCTAAAAGATGTCAATTGTGCCTGGTACCGGACATGTCATTATTAACGCAAGTATTCACTTGTAATCCAGGCTCGTACATGAACTTGCATTTCCTGGCTTTCTTAGCATCCAGGACGTGATGATGTGCTGACCACTTTTACAGCGCTCCTCATGATGACACCAAACAGTTGACCAAAAACACAGGATTATAATGAGGGGAACCTGTATATCTGGTTTCCCCTCTATTGGCTTCCCAGTCCAGACACTGGGCTGAAGCTTAGCTCGAACATCAATAAGAAATGCTTTTCCCCAATGGCCGAGACTCTGGCACACTCTTCCTCTATCCCTCCGCCTTGCCCCCTCCCTCCTTCCCCTTCTTCAGGTCACACCTGAAGATCTTCCTTTTCGACCGTGCTTATGGTCATCTCCCCCCCCCCACCCCTCCCCAGGCTTGGTGTTGTGCTCCGCCACTGTCAAGAGTTCTGGCCCTGAGGAGTGAAGGGAGCAATATAAATGCAAGTTGTTGTTGCTTGTCTAACTGGTTGACTTTATGTTTTGACAGACCTACGAGCAGAACGCTTGGTTAATCCATTTGGCGGGAAAGCTGCTGACTAACGACAGCCATGCCCTGTCACTCATCTCCCACAATCCCTTCGCAGGTAGCCAGCCGCCCAGGTGAGGAGCTTTGACCTTTATTCACTTTCTTTCCGAACTGGGGTGCGTTGATTCCTTTCCTCAGGTCCAGCCCCTGCAGTCAGCGTTACAGACTCAACATCCACTGCAATCCTCTGGCCTTGGCCTACAGAAGTCTTGTTGCAAAGGAATCGATATCAGTGCTGAGGCTGTAACTCTCGCTGTACTCTCTCAGGCTGGTAATTATCTGCTCTGTGGGTCACTGTGAAGGGATCTTTCACCCACAAAATACACAGTCAATTCACTTTACAGTATATTCTGTGACGCGCTTTGAGACATCTCAACGACGTGATGAGGCGTGATATCAAATGCAAGGATTATTATTATTATCTTGCTGTTATCGGGCAATTCCAAGTTTAATCCCGGTCTGACTGAAACTGAATTAAATTAAAAATTAAATGCAATTAAAAATGTTTTTCTTCAGAGCAATACAATACAATTTATGTATATATTTAACGCCTTTCATGTTGGGAGGATGATAATAATAATAATAATAATAATTTTTGTATAGCTCTTTTCATGTCTTCTAGACGTCTCAAAGGGCTTGACAGAATATACTGTAAAGTGAACTGACTGTATATTTGTGGATGAAAAATGCCAGCCAATTGCACACAGCAATGTCCCACAAATAGTCGTGGATTGAGTGACCAAATTATTATTTTTTTTAAGGATTATTATCCCCGGAAAAGCGATCCGCCAATCGATCCAATCCTATTCACTGCTAGGTAAACAGAGGCATGTGGAGTAAGGAAACTTGCCCAACATTTCGCCCTGGCCGGGAATAGAACCCAGGTCTCTCGCTTGTGAGGCGAATGCTCTAACCACTGAGCTACAGGATGTCTCAAAGCACTTAACACAGCTGGCTGGGCACCCAAGCTGTAGAATGGAAGAAGAAGGAATTGACTGGACTGCAGTAGGATCTTAAAGCTGTGGTGCAGTAACACTTGGCACAGATAGAATCCAGAGCAGGTGAACTCACAACCCTCCCCGGTGATCACATCATGGCTGCTCCATCATGGAATACTTTGCTCTCACGTGGCTCTCTGCCACACATGCCCATTATGGTTTCAGCGTGAGGTGATGCCATCTGAACACTTGCATTAGGTTTTCATTCAGAGCAGCAAAAGAGAAATGATTCGGGAGCATCGAGGTGGCAGAGACTTGGCATGTCAACAGACTTGGCTCCGTCACTGAAGCATAGGAGCTGAGCTGGCATCTCCCAACATCTCCACGCAGTGAGTTCATGGTGTGAACCACGGAAGGGAAGGTTTCAGTGATTCTCCAGTTGGAGGCAGCTCGCCCTGGGATGAATGTTCCCACCCAATGGTCAGTTTCAGTTCAGCATTGACTGTCCCTCTTGGGATTTTCAATTGGAGTGACTCAGGAGAGAGAATTGTAGCAAACACTGTATGAACCAGCTGCTTCTGCCCTATTCCTCTTCCCCCCCCCATCTTCCTCGAGTGCAAAATCCAAGCGGAAATGCCAAAAAAAAGCCATTGAAATATTCTTAAATACTCGCCTCGGAGCTGTTAAGCGCCCCGAGATGAAGGCCGCCATTGCTAATGCAAGCTGTTGTTGTCGTTCAACAGTCACACCTGACAGCGAAGCAGTGGGGCTGAACACCAGCTCGTAAAAGTAACAAAAACGAAAGCGTTTTTAAATGACTTCAAATACAAAGCAGGAGAAGCACTGGGCGGGAACACGCAGCGGCTTCCTGGGATGATGCAGGTGGGGAGGGGAGTGAATTGACAGTGATTGTGCAGTCCAATGGAAATTAGGGAGTAAATAGACAGAAACGCTGCCTTGCTCAGTTTTGCGCTTGGATCTGCAACTGCCCAGTGTTACGTCAGACCATTAATCCTAACACATAACATGATTGCACTTTTCCCTCCAAAACTCACAGCTGTTGCTTTAGAAGCAGCTGCTCCCCTCTGGATTTCATTACAGCTGTCGGAGTTACGAGGTGGGGGGGGGGGCGGTAGTGGGCGGGGGGACGGGGACTGGGGGGGGGTGGGGGGTGAGGAGTTGGTTCTGCTGTGCTCAGCGTTGTCTGCTCCAGCAACAGACCAGCCCTGCACTTTTTTTTTATTCGCTTCTTTCATCATTCTTTTCTTTCCTATCCTTCGGAAAGGGAGAAGGGCTCACCTTGCGTGAGGTGATTCCCGACCTTGCCTTTCCCTCCATTTGACCAGCGCACGAGACAACGTGTCAGATAGCAGAGGTGACGGACGCATTAATGTTAATCTCGGTTTCACTTAAAGCGAGGCTGCAAAGAGCCGAGCTCAGTCTTCGCAGGCTGATCAAAGATGTCTTGCACTCCCTCCTGCCCAAAAGCAATAAAAACCTGTCACTCGATGGGTTAAAAGGTGCCGGGTTAACCCCGCGGGTACTGATCAAAATGCACAGCAGATGCCTGGGGAGAAATTCCACCTGCCTTATTTTTTTTAATCATCCACGAGATGTTTCACATCGAATCTGTTACAAAACATCGCAATGTTCCAGTTGTTCCTACAGGCCGCCGGAGGGTGTAAAGCACACCACATTCCCCCCCCACCGACTGGTTGAGTTTGCTACCGCTTCATTTCACTTCGACCGCGCTTGCGCTCACCTCCTCCCTACCCCCACCTCGACATCAGGCTCAGAGACGCTGCCCCACATGAAGGGTGCTGTCTGTACAAGTTGTTGTTGTAGGTGATTCTGGAGCCAGCATTCCAGTGCCGCTCCACAAAATGAATTCAGGTTGTTAACCCACAAAGATGCATTGGTTAACTCTGAGACCCCCTGCCTCAATCCCTCCACCTTGCCCCCTCTTTGCCTATGAAGAGGCAGTTTGCAAGTATGACCTCCTCACGCATTCTGTTGGACTTGGAACAGGCTCAGTCAGGAAGCTTCAGTATTGCAATAACATTGACGAAAGACTCTGTTTGCAAGACAAAATGTGAGACTGCACGTTATTTTTACCCTGAATTGTAGACTGATAATAAGAATTACCCTACATGCCTGGGTGGAAGGACTTGTGTTTTTTTAATTAATCATATTTGGCACACGCACGGAATAATTGCCAATAATTCTCTTGTTGCCCTCAAAACATTTGCTTTGGCATTTGTGTGCGTGTTACTGACCGTTTCTGCGCACTGATTTATGGGCTCAGTGCAGTCACCCACGGGTCCTTTACAGCATGGAAACACGGAGATTTCTCTGACGAGTTCATTGTGTGATGTCAGGTTCCCCTTCACAACAACAAAAGAAACGTCCTAGTGTGCAGTCTGTGAATCAACATGGTCCTCGCTCAGAGCCACCAGTCCACAGATGGCTCCTTATCATCCGTGTCTTATCATCTGCGTATGACTGTTCTTGGAACATTTCCCCCACGGTAGCTCGAGGGAGAGAGAGAGAGAGAGAGAGAGAATGTTACTCGGTTATGGCACTTGCACTTGGGTTTCATCTCGCGCTATTCAGGGGTTCAAGCGCTCCCGAGACTCTGCCCCGCGTGAAGAGCGCGATATAGAAGCAAGTTGTTGTTGTTCAAATGCTCAGTGTTGCATCTGTCCGTTCTCCAGAAGCGCCTTTCTAATGCTGCTCACGCTAAGCCTTTGTGTATCCGCTCTTGAGGTACTCTCAGGGGCACTCGGATTCCCAGCAAGTGACTCACCCCCTCGCAGCAACGAAGCATCTGCTTACACCCTGTACCTCCAGCGTTTCTGTTGATTAGAGGACGGGGGAGCGGGTGAAGAGGGAAAGGAACCCCCTGAATCCATTCAGTTCTGTCTGAAGTGGCGTCTCCTTCTCTTAGGGATTCCTTGCCATACATTTTCTCAGCCTTTTCATGGTCGTGGGAGGTTGCTTTCCATGTGATTTTGTTGGGGTGGGAGGAGGGGAGCTCATTTTCAGGACCTCATAACAGGATTTCTTAATAAGATAGGGATAAAACAGAAGCAGATTAGGGAAAGGGGGATTCTTCTAGTAACCAGAGATAGATCTGGGCGACCCTCGGGAAGTGTGCTGTCACAGAGCAATTTAAAGATTCCTGTAAGATGTACCGCAAACTAGAACCCCACGAGTTCAGTAAAGCGTAAGGTATCACTCATTCCTTTACTGATCCTTCCAGATTCCCGATTCATCAACCAAAGTGTCGTCTGAGTTTCGCTGTCTATTTGCTAATGCTCTATTAGCTAATAATATAATAATAATTCTTGCATTTGATACAGCGCCTTATCATGCCTTTAAGACGTCTAAAAGCACTTTACAGAATATACTGTAAAGTGAATTGACTGTATATTTGTGGGCGAAATGCGGCAGCCAATTGTGCACAGCAGCGTCCAACAAACAGTCTGGATTGAAGTGACCAATTTATTATTGTTTTTTTTTCTTGAGGGATTATTATTAGGCGTGTGGAGTAAAGAAACTTGCCCAAGGTTTTGCCCTGCCAGGAATCGAACCCCGGTCTCTCGCTTGCCAGGCGAGTGCTCTAACCACTGAGCTACAGGACTCTATAATTAGTAGTTAATAAGATACCACATATACGGAGAGATCTAATGATGGGTGGGTTATTACAACTGAGCTGCTATTTTGGATCTCCTGCTCTCTTCAAATCCACGTAGCACCTGGAAAGATAATGACAATGGTTCTGCTTCGTTAAACAGTACGTACTTCGCAGCAGGTACTTGCAACCTTAGCATGTTTATTGCCTGTGCCTATCTATTGAACATCGTGAACCGTATTTTGTACAGTTAGATGCTTTGGATTTATGTTTCTTACTCCCTCCCCCCCCACACCCCCCTTCCAGGCAGTTTTCCCTCCTTGCCTGAAGGGACTCATTCACTATGGAGTACTGGGTCACAGTGCCACAGGATCTTTAACAATTCATGGGAACAGGCAGATGAGACCTCAGTTTAACTAAAGTCTCATCCAAAGGATGGCACCGCCGACAGTGCAGCCCTCCCCCAGCACTGCAATGGAGTGTCAGCTTAGACTAAGTCTAAGACAATGGACTAAGTCGTGATTGTAAATTGTGAGGCTGACTATTTTGAAACGACAGCAGCCTCTGGATATGGCTGCAACACAATTTTTTTTNCGAAAATTTCCCCTCGCCTGCAGAGCAGATCAAACCTGACTCCTCATTGCTTTTCTCAAGCACTTTGCCAATTACAAATTAACTCCGGTTTCAAAAGAGCTTGTACAAGACAAACAGAAGTTTTCTCACCAAACCGGCTTGATCTGCACCGTCAGAAATAAATTGGCTTTATTTTGACCTCTGAGAAGCAGTTTGATTGCAGGATCTCTGAATTTGTGGATCAGGGCTGTGGCTTTGGAAAAGTGACACACACTGATGTATTTACTTACCACGTATCAAAGGGTGCAAAGAACCGTCAAGACAAGTCATGTTAAGCGTTCTGAGTCCATCGTGATCATACTGTTTCAGAGAGAGTGGACAATGAAGGTGAATGAATGTTGACCCACTCATCTGAGAATTGATTCACAGTATAGGGTTACATTGCCAATAATGTCACCGCTTCTATATGAGAGATCAATCATAGAGCCTGTGAGGCTGCTCAACCTCTCCTCAGCCAAGCTGCAGGGAGCAACAGGAGTTTGGGAATCCATTGTGAGAAACATTTCACTCTACGTTCCAGATCGCATCATTGAGCAACTCCACATGACTGTTTGAATGTCTCAGTGATACTGCTACAGCTCCCCCCACACCCCCTACCTCCTCCTCCTCCTCCCCCCCCCCCCCCCCCCCACTATTGTGTGAAGTGCTTGAAAAATATACTTAAGGAAAAAATTGCAAGGGTAAGAGCTGGGGAGTGGGACCAGTTGGTAGCTCTTTCAAAGAGCCAGCACGGGCACGGTAGGCCGAATGGCCTCCTTCTGTGCTGCATAATTCTATATCTTTTGAACGGTCGTCAGACAACAAGACCTACTGTATTTTAAATCAATCTCAAAACAGTAGGTAAACACACCCCCTGTTTCAATTCAACAAAGCTGGAACCTATTTGGCTTTCTCTCTCTTTCTCTCTCTGTCTCTCTCTCTCTCTCTCTCTTGCCCTCTCCTCCCCACGCTGGCTGGCATGTGGCATTTTCCTGGTACATACAGAGAGAAACGTCTCGTTCAGCCTCGATTTCAAAGAGCATCAGCAGAGAGATCGGACCAACCAGCTCTTGTGCAATTGTTATGCTTTTGTCTAGACTGGAAAAGTAAGCTTCCAAATTGCCGATTTAATTAACTTTCACTATGTGTACGGAAAAACGGAAAAATCAACCATTTGACCGGGCTTTCTCGCGGGGAGCTATATAGCTGGCTTGCCCAGTTTGTGTGCGAGCGAGGTTCCCAATAACAAGCTTGTTGACTTACATGTTCGGTGTCGAGACAGCGCGAAGAAAAATACACAGGGTTTGGTTGATGAGAGCTCTTTTTGGTGGAAAATCAGACCACAAAATACCGAAATGTCACTGGGCTGGAGGCTACAGTCGGTGCCAGCATTACTGTGCGTATAAATCAATGTGTTAGGCTCAGCAGATAGTGACTCTGGTCTGCAAAATACTGTTAAGTCGTCAGTGATTCTGGGATTGGAGCTATTGCAGGTGTTACTTCTTGATAAAGGCAAGACAGAGGTGAGGGTAGACTACAGACGTTAATCAGTGTCCGTGACAGTCTCGTACTTCTTTGTTATTTCCAGCTGCCGTGAGTTTGTTCTGTTTTCAGTTGTTAGCTGAGGTTTGAGCTTTCTGGCTGGGCGCTGCTGTGGGGAATGTGAAAGGTGTTGAGTGACATGGTGAGAGGTCTAACGTCACTCAGATGTTTTGCAGCATGAAGGAGATCAAGTGGCCCATTTAGCTGGTGCTCACTCCTCCACTGCGAATTCCAAGTTCCCTGCTCGACAGTAACTCATCTTATTACTGTATCTTTTTTTTCCCTTGCATTAGACACATGGCTTTTACCACCTCGTCGAGGTGCCTCAAAGAGCGTCACAGGGATTGCTGCGAAGTGTAGTGACTGTGTATTTTAGGCAAACGTGGCAGCCTGTGTGCCCATGCAGATAGTCCCACCAAATGTATTTGAGGGATTGTTGGCAGGATACCAGGAGAAATTCCCTGCTCTATTCGAATAGTGCCATGGGATTTTAACCTGAACAGTTTAACGTCTCATCCGAAAGACGGAGTCTCCGCCAATGAAGCACACCCCCAGCACTGCATTGGAGTATCAGTAACTTGAAGTGACGGGTACTCCAGCAATGTCATTTCTTGGCAGGATAGCGAAAGGAAAGGAAATGCAGCATACAGTGTACGTTACAGTTAAAAAAAAACACAGCAATGAGTAGGTTCCTGAAATGATTCGTTATTCCCGACTGAACACAGTTGATGTCTCTTTTCTGCGGACAGGTGGATAAGGGCAGAACACTATCGATACAAGTTCAGCCGGCCAGGAGGCAGCCACGCAGGCAATGGTAAGTGGTGGATTCGGAAACGTATTGGGATGTACTTCCCACCTCTCAGTGTGAAACACCTCAAGCAGTACTTCAAAGAGCAAAACTGGCCACCTCTTGATACGCATTGAGATGCCTTCGCCAGAGATCCAACAAGAACAACCTGCCACCACCTCAGGAACTGATGCCTATTAAAATACCGTGAAGCACAATGAATGTAATTAATGTACACTGAATGCCAACAGACTTCAGCACAGACCATTTAACCGTACATAGTCAATTTGTATTTTACACAAACTATAATGTTGCTAATTTTCATAAGCAGTAAGGTGGCGATTCATGTTTGAGACCAATTTGCAGCATGTTTTCAGCCCTAAATAAGTAAATGGGGTTTTAGCAGAGAAAGTGTTGTAACAATTTTATGGGTACCAATTCTGTAGAAGACCACATGTATCACCTTCATTGATGTTCTTGACTACCTTTCCTCTCCCCATCTCTTGCCCACAAAATATACAGTCAATTCAATTTACAGTATATTCTGTGAGGCGCTTTGAGACATCTCAAAGCCGTGATACGCCGCTATATCAAATGCAAGGATTGTTATTGTTAATCAATCTCAATTGCCGTCAGTTGTGCCTGTTATGATACGCACGGACTTGTTGTGAATCTCGTGAAAACAGCGAATTAAAACTTCCAACGTAATCGAGAATGTATATCCATTTTATTGACCGGACCAACTTTCCTCAAAGCTTTGCGTCAAAGGGGAGCTCAGTTGGATCAGAATATCTGGCATCACTGGCGTAAAGAAATGCATGGTGAGAGGGTTCAGATCTCTCACTAGAACACTATGCCTACCAAGCTCTGCTCACCTTCTCCCGCTGCACCCCAGCAGTGTCACAGGTAAGACCATCTAAGCACTGTATTTTGCCCACAAAATATACAGTCAATTCACTTTGCAGTATGTTCCACGAAGCGCTTTGAGGCGTCTCGAAGGCGTGATGAGGCGCTGTATAAAATGCAAGGATTATTATTGTTATTATTACTGGAGTCCTGTAGCTCAGTGGTTAGAGCACTCGCTTTGCAAGTGAGACACCTGGGTTCAATTCCAGGCAGGATGAAATCTTGGGCAAGTTTTCTTACTCCACACAGACCCTAATAATAATCCCTCCAAAACAAAACAATGATAAATTGGTCATTTTCAATCCACTGTTGGACACTGCTGTGTGCAATTGGCTGCCGCGTTTCGCCCTCAATTATACAGTCAATTCACTTTACAGTCTATTCTGTGAAGGGCTTTGAGGCGTCGAGAAGACATGAAAAGCGCTATATCAAATGCAAGGATTATTATTATTATAATATCCTTTTTTAAATAAGAAACCAAAGTCACTCTTGAACTCCTGATGCCCCGAATTGCTCATGATCTTAGCCTTAAGATCAAACCTTCAGATTGTGAAGAACTTTGAACAAGTCTTAAATTCAGCCATAGTTTGCTGAGTAAGCTGGTTTACACATTTTAGTTTAAGAACTACTATTGTAGTTGCATTGTATGAGAATATAATCGCTGATCTCCTCAAGTTAAGCATTAGATCTTAAGTTAAAGAAGTATCTTCACATTTAGATGGGCGATTTCATTCTGGTTAGACTGTGACTTTTGGGGTTGTGTTTTGCCTCTCATACATTGTGTTCCTCACATGTATTGCGGTGTCATTTTGGACTTGAGCTGTTTGACTGACATCTTTTAGTATCTAACTTATGGCTTCTCTCTCATGGTGATTGATACACTCTGCCTTCTCTTGTCACGCAACCCACGACTGTTTGTGGGACGCTGCTGTGCGCAATTGGCTGCTGTGTCTCACCCACAAAATACAGTCAATTCGCTTTACAGTATATTCTGTGAAGCACTTTGAAACATCAAAACAATGTGATAAGGCGCTGTATCACATGGCAAGGATTATTATTATTAATGTCTTCGCACTTGGCCATTGGGCTGTGAGTTATGGTGTCAGCGCTAACTGAAACACCTGATGTCTTGACCTCCTCAAGTAAAACTTGCTTTGTTTTTTGATGAACGTTTGCAGTGTTCTGTAAGAGATTGTTACCTGTGCCTTCTGACCGCTGGCCTTCAAGACCGATCGAGGGCATATCCAGCTCTTGTAACAGTAGGTACTATACAGAAGCTGGGCTTAATGTAAATCAAGATACTCTGTGTTACTTGATGTCTCTTTCCTCTCTGCCCACCCCCTCCGCACTCCCCACCCTCCTCCAACCACAATGACATTGAGTTTGGCACGAAGTGAACAAGTCAGGAAGCAGAGGTCAGAAAAGATCTCCTCCGAAATGCATCAGGTTATGATTGAATATCAGTAATAGATGGCTGCTTGCATTGTACTGAGGAATAAGGATATACTGTCTGATTGATGCATTCATCTCAGTCTCACCTTTCATTCAACTCACTCAATCACAGTGTAACACAGTCCTCTCCTACTGCTTACATTTACCCTGTGTTACCGCTCTATGGCGATCAAGTGGCAGCTCAGTTTAACACTTTGCCCTCACAGGCGCCCTCTTATCTATTCAAATGACTTTCGGCTTAGTGGTAAAAGTTCTTTTTCCCTCACTGTACTAGAAGCGAAAGGGAAAAAGGAACTTACTGCAATCTCAATAGGCTGTATCCTCCACTCGGCTAACTCGAGTTTGCTGTGCGTCCCCTTCTATTCTTCTGACCCCTGGAACTCCCTCCCTTTACACCTCCATCTCACCCCTCCCTACTTGCCTTAAAGCCTACCTCTTTGACTGCGCCTATGGTCACCTCCCTCTTCTCCCCCCACTTCCTCCTGCTCCCCACCGCGTTTGTGGTCAGCCAGGTAATCTATCGGGCAAAAAGAAAATAACTTTGTTCCTTGATAATAAGAGAGAGTTCCTTTGCAGACGAAGGACTCCTAAGAGCATAATACAACATAAAAAATTATTGGGGAACGAAGACCAAGGTCCATCTAGTTCGCCTTCCACCATCTTGGTAGTCACTTATGTTGGATCCCAAACGATACACTGTATCCCACAATATTATTTTCTAGCAGAAACCTATCCCATTTGTTCTTGAAACCAATGTCTCTCCGTGGATTTGGAGTTTCCTTAACTTCGGGAAATGCCCAGCCGAGTGACCAGTAACATCCGGCATCTTAACTAACTAATCACGTCCTCCCGACATGAAAGGCGCTCTATAAATGGAATCTTCTTGTTGTTGTTGAAATGGCCGTGTTGCCGAGAGATGTGACCTGAGCTGTTGATTGACAGGTGAAAGGTACCGGGCTGTACATCAATGGTTGCTCATTGCTGTGAGTTGCTGTTGGTTTGAGGCTCTTGCTTGTGACATTCCACTGATGCTTTTCCTCTGCCTGTTTGTTTGTTGTTTTGCGGAGTTATGGGATCACAGGGTTCTTTATAAATGGGACTCTATCTCACCAGGAGGTCTGGACACACTTCACTTGTGCTAGGAGTCCTCAGGCCCAATTGGAAGTTACATTTGTTAGTGTCCACGACAGAACTGTGGCCCTTTCTCTCATTCTGTTACATGGAAAGGAATTATCAGGATTGACAGACACCATCCTTCTGCAAAGCCTCACAAACCAGACACATTGGCTCGAACACCAGAGACTATCAGGATCTGTCCAGGTATCAGTTTCTTCAGACCATGTTGGACAGGACATCAAAGGAACCTACTGGCTTCATGTTAGTGCGTAATGGTAATGGAAAGTAGCTTTTCCATATCACAGAGGGACTCGGGAGGTTGCTCTTCAGAGGTAAGAGAATCTCCAGTTATTGGTTTTGTCATTTCCCAGGAAATCAACTAATTTATTACTCAATGCACAAATATTAATAATAATCCTTGCATTTGAAATATAGCGCCTTAGCACATCTTTGAGACGTTTCAAAGCGCTTCAAACAATACATTGTAAAGATTTGCCTACAGAATATACAGTCAATTCACTTTACAGTATATCCTGTGAAGCGCTTTGAGACGTCTTGAAGATATGATGAGGGTTTATATAAAATGCAAGGATCATTATTAAAGTGAATTGACTATTTTGTGGATGACTAACGTACTGATTGGTGGACTGACTAACAGTATTACGTGATTCTTAAACAGTCAGTGTTGACGTAACCCCACAACAAACCTATAAACTCTTGTGATTCTCAGTATCTAGACGGATGCCTTTGCCTTTCAAATCAGAATGGTTTTGACCGAGTCTCAGGTTGCCTCCAGGTACTCTTTAAATAACTCTCGACTTTTCATTAATCAGTACATCAGAAAATAAAATCAGGGTTCTCTCTCTCTCTCTCTCTCTCTCTCCTCTGTCAGAGCTGGCTTGTTTATCATCCGTCAACCAGTTTCTCAGCCCGCTTTAAACTTGCGTTGCAACCTCTCCAGATCCCATACTGGTACAATCTTCGGAATAGAGCACTGTGAAGGGTTAACACTCCAGTGGTACCCTGGAACTAGCCAGCCCACCAGACAGACACTGCAATGGTAATGTGAGTGTCTGAGCTCTGTCACTTGCCTGTCTATCCAGGAACCTCTGTAAGATGTAGCACGTTACAAGGGCTTCTGCAAAAATAATTATCATCTCAGGTTTTACTCCACGTACTGGGATCTGGAGAAAGGGCAGGGAACAATCTCACCCTCCTAATTGTAGTTTTATTTGTTCAGTATTTCACCCTCGTAGACTTGTCCCAGCAGACAAGAAGCGGTGAGAAGAAAACAAAGCTGTGTCTAGCAGGGAAAAGGAAGTGTTCCAGACACATAGCGCTCATTTTCTAAACAGCAGAGAGGTCTATAAAAATAATGATCTTCCTTCCTCTCCCTCCCCCTTCAACTGGAATGGACTCTTGGGTCCGTGTTTATAAAAGGAAATAATACAGACCTGCCGATTGCTATACTAACCAAGGCATGGAACATGGAGGAGAAGCAATGGTCCACATCAGGGTAGATTTTCACTCTCACCCACAATAACCAAGTCAAGTGCTATGCCAGAGTAAAGTCTGCAGTCCAGTATCTGTCTTGGTTACGCAAGAAGGAAGAGAAAAACAAATAGAGGGATGACAGATATCGTCATCTCCCAAATCCTCAGAAAAACCAGACACAAGATCTCTCTCTCTCCAGTGCCAGATGGTGTCCAGAGGTTTCGCGCAATTCAACGCACTCCTTCAGCGAGCGAGTATCCTCGGTTACATTGAATAGGTCTCCGTGTGTGTTTTTTTATAAATAAATCTTCAAAAGAAAAATGTAAATGTTCGTTAAACGCTGTCAGAAGACCAAAGGCAGATTGACGTCATGGGGCGGGAAGCTCTGTTAGAAGTAACTGGAAAGCGACTGACCGGTTGCAGCGGAAGGATATTACAAACACACACACGCCAGTTCCCGTGTTGTTTGGCCGCACATGTCAAAAGGTTGGTGCCTCACAGGAGTGAATAATAATAATAATAATAATCCTTGCATTTGATACAGCGTCTTATCACGTCTTCGAGACGTCTCAAAGCGCTTTGCAGAATATACAGTCAAGTGAATTGATTGTGTATTTTGTGGGCGAAACGCGGCTACCAATTGCGCACAGCAGCGTCCCACAAACAGTCGTGGATTAAAGTGACCAATTTATTATTTTTTTTTGAAGGAGTTATTACCCCCAGAAAAGTGATCCAACAAT